ACAACCAAATAACTCCAAGACAAGGGTACTTACGCAACGGTTTTCTGGTAGATCTTTCTGAACCGGCGCTGCCTACCCGAGCCCCCAGCCGTGGCCTTGGGGTCGACGCCTGCATCTTAGGGTGGAGGTCCCGCGGTCTCCGCCATCGGTCTCTCCTCCGCCCGTCGCTCTGGGGATCCCCTCGCCTGTTGGTCGGGGACTCCCTCCGTCCGCCGCTCTAGGACTCCCCTCGTCTGCTGCTTGGGGACTCCCTTCGCCTGCTGCTCGGGGGCTCTCGTCGCCCGCTGTTGGAGAACTTCCTCCTATCCAATCGACTGTTCCTCCGTGCGCGTGCTACGCGGAGGCGCCTTCGTGCTCGGTGGAGGAGCAACCGAAACTTTGTCGTCATCCGACCATTCAAACACCGCAGTCCTTCGTGTACGAGTGGTCTAGTCACCACCAAGCGAGATGTCGCCCGCCTTGAGGGGAGCGGCGCCCGCCGTCTTTCTCTTCTTCCGGGCTGGCTCGTCTGCCGCTGCCCTCTTCCCCCTGATTTTCTCCGACACCGGGGATGGACTATCCGACGAGATGCTGATGGTTTCCTCCTCAGGTTGCGTCGGTGGCCGGGCATCTACTCCCCATGGCCAATCGCCCCTCGGTATGCCCGAGAAGTACACCACCCTTTCCTGCAAATGGATCTTCGCATAAGTGAATCAGTCCACTGCTCGGCAAACGACAAAAGATACAAAGCATCAGGAACATACAATAGAGATATTTACCTGAGGAGGCGGATTCTGGTAGTAAAAGGGTCCCGTCTGCCCTAATAAGTGAAATGAGGCAAGTGGGGCGAACAGCTCTGTGGCCCGCTCCTGCACAACATCCCTTGACAGCATCTCCGTTCTTTTCTGGGTACCGTCGGTCTCCCCCTTGAAGTCAAAGGCTGCGTGAGCCCTCTCCTTGCAGGGATGGATGTAGCGCACTATAAAGCTTGCCGCCACTAATCCACCGTTGGTCCTCACGCCCTTTATTAAGCCAAGGAGCTCCCTCACTTGCTCCATATCAGTGCTGCTTAGCGTCTCCGACCAGCTCTTCTGGCTCTCGGGTATGTGGTTGACATTGCAGCGGACTGCAGGGTGGCTCTGCTTCATGTAGAACCACCTGGTGTTCCACCCCTTCAGCGATGTGCTTAGCGGAACAGTAAGGTACTCCCCCGCCATTCCATCGCGCAACTGAAGATACACTCTGCCGACCACCTTGGAACCACCGCCGCCTCTGTTCTTCAGCCAGAACAAGTGACGCAAGAGATTGAAGTGTGGAAGGATTCCGAGATACGCCTCACAGAAATAGATGAAGATAGATATGTGCAATATGTGTTTGGGAGGAGGTTGCACAGACTAACCACCCAGAACTCCAACAGATCCCTCAGGAATGGATGAACAGGAAAACCCAACCCGCGTCAGAAATAATCCTCAAATACCACCACTTCATCAGCATGAGGCATTGGGAAGGGCTCATCGAGGGCCGGCCACCATCCGGCGGTAGCGCGGTCAGGAAGCATGCCCGCCTCCACCAATCTGTTGAGCTCCGCCTCTCTCGTTCGTGATGGCATCCACTCTTCGTCACGCCGGGCTTCGGCGCTCGCCTTCTTGAGGCTCGTCTTCTTCGGTTTCGCAGCTCCCTTCTTTAGCGCCATCTCTTAGATCTGGTTAGGGTTTGGCGGCAGAAGCAAGTGTGGATGCGAATCTAGAAATGCGAGGGCTAAGGAGGAAGATGAAGTGGCAAAAGTGGGAGCGCGGGGTGCGACGGCGCAGTTATAAAGCACTCCCCCACCTTTTCACATTCGAGGGTTTTTGGGAAACTGTTCCCGTGATTTGTGTTTCTCCGAATTCTCCGCAACAGTAAGGTGGGCCGTTACCTGGGCCTTTGCGCAAACGCGGCCCATGTCGTCGATTTATCTCCGCAATTTGTTATGGCTCGCTGAATATTCGCCGACATCTTCGCTAACCGTTATAGCTCAGTAATTACTACTGTACAACCATTACTCCGTTGTTTTCTCCGCGATTCTGTTTTCTCCAAGTTGACTGCTGTTTCTGACCCTGGCACCACGTGACCACGTCACCTATTATTAGGCTCAGGGACTAAGTGGGCACACTTCACCTTACGGTGAATGTGCTTTTCCTCCTTTCGGGGCTACGCTCGGGGATTGACTGCCTGCTCGGCTGGTCTTATACTTTTCTTCTACTTTGGACCCTAGCACCACATGACTACGTCATCTACTGTCAGGCTCGGGGACTAAGTGGGCACACTTCACCTTGCGGTGAGTGTGTTTGCTTTAATCTAGAAGACTCTGCACCTCTTGAAGCTGCAGAAGATTATCTCTGTTTCTCGTGGTCGGACTCTAAGTGGGCACACTTGGTACACTGTGATGAAATTTTTGATTCTGAACTTGAGCTCCTTACACCCTTATGGCAAGCCGTACTTGGGTTATGCTGCTCGGCGACGGTTCACGCTGCTCGGTGACGGTTCGCGCTGCTCGGCGATGGTTCACGCTGCTCGGCAACTGCTCACAACTGCTCGGCAACTCATCACGGTGGTCGGACCATGAGTTTGACTGCTCGGCTTTGTTTGCACCTGCTCGGACAAGCTCAAGACGACGTTGTACAACGGGTACAAAGCGCTCGGGGACTAGCTGTGGGGGGTATAACCCCGGATACCCACGGCAGACCACATGGGTTGTGCCCCAGGGGCGGCCCAGTCCACAAGATGAAGCCTTGCGGGGCACGACTCTGCTCGGCGCCTCCCGCAAGACACCGGAAAGATATTATGAAGATACTACAAGATCTGTTAGGATACGTATGATCCCAAGATTTCTGAAATCTGTTATTACTTTCCGGTTATCTCTCAGATCTAACCGACTTGTAACCCTGCCCCCGGACTATATAAGGCGGACAGTGACCCTCTCTAAACTCACGCAATATCATACGATAGTCAATACAAACCAACAGACTACAGGAGTAGAGTATTACGTCATACTGATAGCCTGAACCTGTCTAACTCGTGTGTCTTTGTTGCCTTCTTATTCTTGATTACACGCTTCTCTACCGATCAATCTACCTTTATGGGATACCCCTCGAAGGACTACTACATATGATATTGCGTGAGTTTAGAGAGGGTCCCTGTCCGCCTTATATAGTCCGGGGGCAGGGTTACAAGTCGGTTAGATCTGAGAGATAACCGGAAAGTAATAACAGATTTCAGAAATCTTGGGATCATATACACGCTTCTCTACCGATCAATCTACCTTTATGGGATACCCCTCGAAAGACTGCCGACGATATTACGTCGACACACAGCCTACTGGCAGTGTGCCACGGGCCACGGCCTGCCTCTCCTCTCCGGTGTTGCGTTCCCACACCCACATTCCAACGGCTAAATTTCTTCAACAACGGTGATATTTATTGATAGACATTTTTAATGTTATCTTTGCTATAATACACTTTTTAACTGAGGTAATTTGCTTCTTAAAATGACATATCTAGAGTGGACGGGAGAAATTAAAAATGATGAAAACACCCTTGACTATTATTGTAAAACCTTTAATAGTTCTTAAAAAAATTCATAACTTTTGCAAATAAGGTGGGATGAAGATGAACTTTATATCAAAATTATAGTGTAGTAGTTGTCGAGTTTTTGACTGAAAATTATTTAGAGCATGAATAATTCTTTTTGAATTATAATTTTGAAATTCAAATTTTAGAATATCATTTAGAATCTAAATATTCATTTTATTATATTACATTTTTAAATTTGATATTTAAATTTTCAAATGTTTGTGATATTTAAATTCGTCTTGGCATAGGCACGGCACTACGGCCGCTTATCCGTGTGGCACGGCGGCCCATCGTGCTAGTGCCGTTCCAGGCGCTATCGTAGTTTGGAGATCCCCAAATTCATAACACATAACAGATCAAAGAAGAAACTTAACAATCACAGATCGAGAAGGAAAATAGATCGATGAATCAAAGAAAAATACATCAAAGAACACACATCAACGAACACAGATCGAGAAATCCACAATATTTATCTCATAAATCCACACATCACAGGTTAGGCCGGGGCTACCGACGCCGCTAGGAGGCTGGGGCCGCCGCCGCAAGGGCGCCGTCGAGAGGCCGGGGCGGGGCCTGGGCCTGGGCCGCCGCTGGGAGGCCGGAGCCGCCGCCGCTGTGCCGGGGTTGGGGCCTGGGTCACCGCCGTAATGCCGGGGCTGGGGCCGCCGCTGCCAGCTTCACGAGCAGGAGGCCGTGCACGCCTCCACGGGTGAGGCCGTGGACGCGCCTGAGCGTCTCTGTGTCTGTGTGTGAGAGAAGCGGGGAGGGATGAAGGGTCGGGGAAAGGCTGAGAGTGAGCACAGCTGCGCAGGAGAGTTGGAGAGCAGAGTTAGTCAGGATTTCGGGCATATTTTTCTTATATATGGCACTCAGCTTATCCAACGGTGCTGATGCCTCCTAAGGCCATCCAACGGTGACAAATAATCGGGCCGCTATCGTGCCGGCACTGCGGGCCGAACCTGCATGCGGCCCAGGCATGGCCCTAGACCGTGCCCGTGCCATGCTAGTGTCGTGCTTTTTCGGGCCAGGCCCGTGTCGGCACATCGTGCCTGGCCCAGTTGGCCATGTATACTTCTCTCTATGAAATATAAGAAATCTTTTATTCTAATAAAAAACTATCTTTAGTTTGACTTTGACCATGAATTTTGTTCCAACTTGAAATGGTTTTTTGGGTTAGAAAAACTCCCTTCTATTTGAAGTTGGAGGACTCAACTCACCATGCATTAGAGAAGCTCCATCCTGGCCGGCTCCTGTTGTGGTGTACTCTGGTGGCCTGCCTCCATATTTCCTTATGAAGTGGTGGCCTCAGGCCTTGCTGCCACTGCTTAACCATTCCTACTAGGCTACTACTCATTTATACACTCGCAGTCATCACACAAAGAAAGAAACCCAAGGTGACAGAGGGGAGCGATGGAGGCGGCGGCGGTGGGCATCGGCAAAGCGGTTCTGAACGGCGTGCTAAGCGGCGCCAAGGCCGCCATCACCGAGGACGCCGCTCTGAGGCAGGCTGTCCAGCGTGATGTGGTTTTCCTGACGGACGAGCTGGCAGCGATGCGCTCCTACCTGAGGGACGCGGACGAGGAGCGGAACCGGCACAAGGTGACACGGACCCGGGTGAGGCACGTCCGCGACCTTGCCTACGACGTCGACGACTGCCTCCGGGAGCACGCGGTTCACCTGGAGAAGCCGTCGGGGTGGCGCCTCGCTCGCACGGTGCTAGAGCGGCACCGTATCGCCGAGGAGATGAAGGGTCTCAGAGCCAGGGCGGAGGACATGAACCACAGGAACTTGCGCTACCACCTTGCTGATGAATATCTGCCCAGCGCCAACTCCGGCAAGCCTGCATCGATGTCGTCTGCTGCTGAGAATTCAAGAACTCTCGGCCGGAGCCGGACTGGCGTCCAGCAGCAAGTGGATCTGTTTCTTGAATCCGGTCAAGTCGACCTCGTTCCGCTGATATGCAGAAACGACGACCGTGAGCTTCGGGTGATTGCAGTCTGGGGAGCAAGTGGTGATCCTAGGAAGACGTCTGTCGTCAGAAAGGCTTACGATGATCTGAAGAGAAAGGGTCCTGAGAGAGATGATGTCAACAGAGATGACGATGCTTTTGAATCCTGTGCCTGGATAAGGGTTGCACATCCTTTCAACCCATCTGAGTTCCTCCAGTGCATCGTGAGGCAATTCCACATGAATTCTCTTCAGCAAGAAGCAGGGAAGACAGAGCAAGCAACACTTGGGTCTCAGAATCTAAACAATATGAAAACGATTGATGAACATCGTCTGGTTGATGAGTTCAGTAAACATGTCAGTCAGAAGAGGTATCTGATTGTGCTTAATGAACTGTCTACTGTTGAAGATTGGGATTCCATTAAACTCTGCTTCCCAAACAACAAGAAAGGGAGCCAGATCATAGTGTCGACAGACCAAGTTGTGTTAGATTGATCTCCTAACCAATAAACCCAACGGCCTATTGGGCCTTGGTCACGCGCCCTGATCGGGGGCGCCCAACCCTACATGGTTGGTGGGCCCCCGTCGCACTGCGCTATATAAAGAGGTGGGGGGCCGGCGGCTCAAAGCACGAGGTTCGCCGTGAGCCGCAAACCCCACCGACAAACCCTAATCCAATCGTGAGGGGCGCAGCCAGTGACGGGAAGCGCCACCAGCCGCGCCGCCACGCTACACCGACGACCGCTACACCGACGTCTTCCCCAACCATCGCTGCCCGTGAGCAGACTTCACCGACGAAGCTGATGGAGGCCTCTGGATCCACTCCCTCTGGGATCTCAGGTTCGACACCTTCTCCTTCCTCTAGATAGCATTCTAGGTCTACATCGTTGCCGTTGTCTACTGCTCTTGATGTCTACCCTCTAGACCGACTGCTAGATGATTCAAGGATTATAACAATGGTATCAGAGACAACTAGCACGTAGATCTAGATAGGGGTAGAGAAAGAATGAGATTAAGATCTTGGATCGGATCTGAAAGAACGCTAACCCTAGAAAATGAAACCCTAACCCTAGATCGGGTTTTGGGGAAGGAAAAGGATGAAGAGGGGAACCTACCCGGTCCTCCCGACACCGCCGTCGCGCGGAAAGTTATCACCGCCGCCATGGTTGGCGCGCGGACAGAGACCCGGCTCGGCCGTGGCTCAGGAAAAACAGTGTCGTCCCCAACCCTAAACCTAACCCAGGAAGGGGACTGATTGAGAAAGAAAAGAACCGCGCCGGGATCCGGCGCCCGCTCGGTGATTGACTGAGAAGGGAAAAGAACCGATTTCAAATCGGAAAAGCAAACCCTAACCCTAATCGGAAAATCAGGCCAAATCCGAACAAAATCCGAATCAAAGAAACCGAAAGGGGAAAGAAGGGGAAGAGGATGGCCTACCTCGGCGTCTGCGTGGCACTGCAGTCACGCCGGCGCGCGGGGAAAAGAAAGGCCGGTCGAAGGGGGCACGGCTCACCGGGATCCGGCCACAGGGGCGTCGTGGCCAGGCCGCTCGACGGCGGCGCGCTCACCCGCTGGGGAGCGCGCACGCCGGCGAGGGGGCCGGCAACGGCGCCGGGACCTCGCTGTTTCGCCATGGTTGCTCGCTCCGTGATTCACTGAGGAGAGAAAGGGGGAGCAGTGAGGCGAAGAGAGAGAGTGTGCGCGTGAAATGAACCTAGGGTTTTCTAGAGACGTGCGGCCGGGGCGTTTTTTATCCGGCCGAAAAGCGAGGAGCACCGTCGATCTGAGATCAACGGCCAGGAGGGCTCGGGCCTCTTTTGGCCCAGGCGGGCGAAGCTGCTTGGCCGAAATCCCGGCCCAGGCCCAGGTTGCGACCTGGGCGCGGGTAGCTGGGCCGGGTGCGCTGACGCGCGAGCGCGTGAACAGGCCATGGGCAGTTGCTGGATCAGGCCGAAAATGGCCAAATAAAATAGTACAGTCACAGTTTTTGATTTTCTTATTTTCCAGAAAACAGTTTGATCAATTTTGAATTGAATTTTTATGATAATTTTCTGTACAAAATTTATCCAACGATATTTTTTGTTCAGTAAATAGTAAAGTTGCTTCTCGAAAATAGGAAAATAATTATTGAATGTTAATGTTTTCGCTGCGTATTTAAAGTAATTATGGACTTTTAATTAAATTTGAACCAACGGGAGAATTTGATTTTAAGAGCCAAGAGATAAAATATGAGTTGATTATGATATTGTTATTTTCTGACCAACGTTGTTAATAGCAATATTATAATTTTAATGATTATGCATTATTTCTATTTCTGCCCAACGGTGATGTAGATTTAATGTATAAAATAATTGTATGTTTTAATTTTGACCAACGTTAAACTAAGGCATGCAATTATTGTTGTTATTTCTGTTCTCATACTATTTGAATTGTGTTTTCAGGAGGATACAACTTGATGAGTTGTATCAAAGAGATCCCCACTCTAAAAGGCGATAACTATATTGAGTGGAAGAAAAAGATAGACCTGGCTTTTATCCTCGCTGAGGTGGACTGGGTTGTCACCACACCGTGTCCCAAAGAACCTGTGGCACCGGTGAGGAAGACAGATGAGACTGATGCTGCATGGCAGAACAGAGAGCGGGATTTTACTCCCGTAAAGATGTCCTATGACCTTGAGCATAGAAAATAGGTCACTGCCAACAAGAAGTGTTTGGCAGTGATAAAGAACACGATTGAGCCTGCTATTGTGGGCTCAATTCCAGACTGTGACACGGTCACAGAGTACCTAGAAAGAATAAAGAGTCAGTTCACTGGCTCTTCAAAGACATATGCAACCCAGCTGATCAAGCAGCTGGTTACAGAAAGGTACTCTGGTGGCGGCAGTGGCATTAGAGAGCACATACTGAGAATGAGCAATCTGGCATCTAAGCTCAAACCAATGGATTTGGCACTCAAGGATGAGTTTCTTATTCATTTGATTTTTGCTTCTTTGTCCAAAGAATTTGACACCTTTGTTGTTAATTACAACATACAGCCTGAAAAATGGGATTTAGAAAAGCTTATAGCCATGTGTGTGCAGGAGGAGGAAAGAATAAAAGTTTCACAAGGTGGTTCTGTCAACTACCTAAAAGATAAGAAAAAGAACTATAATAACAGTTCTTCCTCCAAGTCATCTGGAAAGGGTCCCATGCAACAGTCTCAGAACAACCAATTCCCAGTGGCTAAAGATCAATGTCTCCACTGTAAGAAGACAGGATATTATAAGAAGAATTGTCCTGATTTCCTAAAGATGATAATGAAAAATAAAGGTGAGAACATCATTACATTTGTAAATGAATCCTTGTATATAAAGTTTTTAAAATTTACTTGGTGGATTGATTCAGGTGCAACTATTCATGTTGCTAATTCATTACAGGGATTCCGTTCGATGAGAACTTTGCAAAGAAGCGAAAGTTTCATTAAAGTCGCAAATGGAGTACAAGCAGATGTTGAGGCCGTTGGAGATCTTCTTCTAGAGCTTCCAGATGGCTTTATACTTTTTCTTAGAGATGTTCTTTATGTACCTTCTTTGCAAAGAAACCTGATTAGTGTATCAAAGTTGGACCATGATGGTTATGATTGCCATTTTGGAAATGGCAAATGTCAGATATTGTTTAATAATAAATGTGTTGGTCTTGCCTTCCGACAAGACGAGCTTTATTTGTTATCACTTCGTGAAAATGTGAATTCCGTATGTGATGTGAATGAAAATGTATCCTCATCGAACAATGGAAATGAAAACGAAAGAGAGCTCACGATGCGTTGTCGAAATTATGGCACCGCGCTTTAGGGCCATATTTTGAGGGGGGAGAATAGAAAGACTAGTCAAGAATAATATTCTTCCTCCATTAGAGCTCTCAGATTTAGAACAATGTAGAGATTGCATAAAAGGAAAGTATGTAAAGAAAATTAAGAAAGATGCCAAACGGGCGAGAATTCTCTGATTATTCACACAGACATATGTGGTCCTTTTTCTGTGAAAAGTGTGGATGGTTATGATTCATTCATAACATTCACAGATGATTACTCTCGGTTTGGCTACATTTATCCAATTAAAGAAAGAATGTAAGCGTTGGATAAATTCAAAATATTTAAAGCGAAGTTGAAAATCACCGATTTAAAGATTAAGATAGTCGTCCCGACCGTGGGGGAGAGTACTACGGTCGGCATACCCCCATATGGACAAGTTCTGGACCTTTTGCAAGGTTCTTACAGAGAGATGGTATAGTCGCCAAAGATTCAACACCGGCGAACCTCAGTAGAATGGAGTAGCCGAAAGGCGTAACAGTACCTTGATGGATATGGTGTGTAGTATGATAAGTTACTCCTTTTTACCCATGAGTCTGTGGATGGAGGCGTTAAAAACCGCCATTCATATTCTCAATAGAGTACCAAGTAAGTCGGTGCCCAAAACACCGTATGAGTTGTGGACAGGAAGAGTACCCTCACTTAACCATTTGCGTGTGTGGGGGAGCCCTGCTGAGGCTAAAGTTTTTAACCCAAATATTGGAAAGCTAGATCCAAAACAGTGAGTTGCCATTTCATTGGCTACCCAGAAAAGTCAAAAGGTTTTTGTTTCTACTGTCCTAACAGACATACAAAGTTTGTGGAAACGAGACACGCTGTCTTCCTAGAAGATGAAATGATTAGGGGGAGCTTGGTAGCTCGAGAAATTGACCTTGAAGAGAAGCGGGTGTATGCACCCACTCCGATCATTCATGAGCTATTTTTCTCACTAATCTGCATTCTTTGCACCAACAAAAGACAAGACACCGTGGTGCCAAGACTGTTGTTATCCTTTTGTGGCAACAATGAATGATGATGAGGAACCTCGTGCCTCGTGGATCCTATAGAACATATTGCCACACATGAGGGGGAGCAACAACAGCCTCAAACAGAAAATGTGCCAATTGAGGAGGCCACTAGAAGGTCTCAAAGAGTTAGAAAATCAGCTATTACTGCTGATTATGAAGTGTACAACACTGAAGAATTTCAAATGGAGGATGATCCCACCTCATTTGAAGAAGCCATAAAAAGTGATCATTCATCAAAGTGGCTTGAGGCCATGGAAGATGAGATGAGATCAATGAATGCAAATAAAGTTTGGGATTTGGAGATAATTCCTAAAGGAGCCAAAACAAGAGGGGTCAGAAATGGGTCTACAAAACAAAACTTGACTCTCAAGGGAATATAGAGAGATATAAAGCCCGACTTGTGGCAAAAGGCTTTACACAAAGAGAAGGGATTGATTACAATGAGACCTTTTTTCCAGTCTCATGTAAGGATTCCTTCAGAATCATAATGGCATTAGTGGCACGTTACGATTTGGAATTACATCAGATGGATGTAAAGACGGCATTTCTCAATGGAGACTTAGAGGAAAATGTTTACATGGCACAACCGAAAGGTTTTGTCATGGAAGGAAAAGAACGTTTGGGATGTCGCCTAAAGAAATCTATTTATGGATTAAAACAAGCTTCAAGATAGTGGTACTTGAAGTTTGATCAGACAATAAAGAATTTTGGGTTTAAAGATAAAGTTGAGGACAATTGTGTCTACGCAAAGTTTAAGAATGGGAAGTTTATCTTCCTTGTCCTGTATGTGGATGATATCTTACTTGCTAGTAGTGATGTCGGGTCTACTACTGGAGACAAAGAAGTTTTGTCCTCAAAATTTGATATGAAAGATCTTGGTGAAGCTTCGTTCGTTCTAGGGATCGAGATTCACCGAGATAGAAGTAAAGGGTATTAGGACTGTTACAAAAGGCATACATAGAAAAGTCTTAAAGAAATTAAGTATGCACAAATGTAGTCCCTCACCGCTCCTATAGTCAAGGGCGACAGATATGGGGATTTTCAATGCCCGTGAACCAATATGAGATCGATCAAATGAAAGTGGTTCCATATGCTTCAAATTGTCGGAAGATTGCAATATGCTCAAGTGTGTACGCTACATACGACTTGGCATTTGTTACCGGGTTATTTAAGCGATTCCAGAGCAATCTCGAATAGAACACTGGAAATTGGTAAAGAAAGTCTTGTGTTATTTGCAAGGAACGAAAGGCCTCATGATGACGTATAGAAGATCTGATTCACTCCATATAGTGGGATATTCTGATTCTGATTATGCGGGAGATAATAGAAAATCCACGTCTGGATATGTGTTCACTCTCGCAGGGGGAGCTATTTCATGGAAAAGCTCAAAGCAAACCGTCACTACATCGTCCACAATGTATGCCGAGTTTGTAGCGTGTTATGAGGCAACGGGGCAGGTGAACTGGCTAAAGAAGTTCATACCCGGTTTAAAGGTGGTTGACGACATCAATAGACCACTGAAGTTATACTACGATAATAATCCAGCAGTACAGTATGCTTACAACAATAGGTCAAGTGGTGCTGCCAAACACATTGACATAAAGTATTATATTGTGAAGGATAAAGTCCGGGATCAAATGATAAGTCTTGAGCATATAAGTACCGAAAAGATGCTCGCGGATCCGCTTACAAAAGGCTTACCACCCAACGTGTTCAGATAACATGTAGCCGGCATGGGTTTAAGGGAAAGCCTATGATTCCTGGACTATAAAGGGCCCAAAAGTTAAAGTAACTATTTCAGATCAGAGACGTGCATTGTAGCTGTTAAATCTATCGGCGATTGACCGTGACGATGAGACATGCTCTATGCATCATCTGTGAAGAAATGAGTAAGGATAAAAGGATTGAAGTTTAAAGTTTAAAGATAAAAGTAATAGTGAGATCAAGGGGGAGAATGTTAGATTGATCTCCTAACCAATAAGCCCAACGACCTATTGGGCCTTGGTCACGCGCCCTGATCGGGGGCGCCCAACCCTATATGGTTGGTGGGCCCCGTCGACTCAAGGCTATATAAAGAGGTGGGGGCGGCGGCTCAAAGCACGAGGTTCGCCGTGAGCCGCAAAACCCCACCGACAAACCCTAATCCGATCGTGAGGGGCGCAATGAAAGGACGGAAGCGCCACCACCAAGCGCCACCACGCTACACCGACGACCGCTACACCGACGTCTTCCCCAACCATCGCCGCCCGTGAGCGTACTTCACCGACGAAGTCGATGGAGGCCTCTCGGATCCACTCCCTCCGGGGATCTCGTGTTCGACACCTTCTCCTTCCTCTAGATAGCATTCTAGGTCTACATCGTTGCCGTTGTCTACTGCTCTTGATGTCTACCCTCTAGACCGACTGCTAGATGATTCAAGGATTATAACAAGTTGAGGTTGCAAGTTTATGTGTAGGCCCAGAAAGGTTCGTAGTAGAGGAGCTCAAGCAATCATCAACTGATCAAGTCATCTGTGCTTTCTGCGAGAAGGTAATATCCAAAATCCTAGAACCTTTATTATTCCTATATAGTACATTAAAATCGATTCAAAAGCAGCGTTTCGTACGCGTTAATTCGCATCTCCTCTTCAAAAATCGTATTTTTCGCACATTCGGACCTGAATAATACATTAATACTTATGTTGTGTTTGGTTTTGGCTACAAGGGACATGACGCATCGATTCTAGTTTTTTAAGATGGGGATGGTTCTATCTCTGGGTTTGGTCGAGGGAATCCTCTGTTCTGGGTTTGATGGGAGAAATATGTAAGGGATGGGTCCGTCTACAAAACACTCGATTTTTGTTCTTCACGTCTTCCTCCTCCCGATGTTCCGCTACCGCCCACCGCCCCGCCGCGGCACGGTAAGGTCTCGCCGGAGCTCCGTAGGCCCTACACCGAGCCCCTTCACCGCCTAGCCGACCTGCCGTCCCCACCGCTGGAACCCTAACTGCCACCATCCCGCCGTCCCCACCGCCTAGCTGACCCTGCCTTTCCCAAGCCCCTTCTAAGCTGCCGGAGTTGGGGAAGAAGAGGGGGAGAGGCCGGAGATAGAGAATAATGAGAGGGAGAGAAATCGAGTGTCGAGAGGTAGATGAACACTCAAGTCTGTTACAGCTTTACCGATAATATAATCACCATTTTCAACTAGATAGACAACCGTCAGTGGGGTCTGGAGATGTCAACCTCTTTCGATCCACTTTCTTCTCCCTCTTCCACACCTCCGGCCTCGGCCCCACCCGTTGTTGCACACAGCACCGCCAGGCATGGCCCCTTGTGTCCAGGCTCGCCCGTCTGTCCACTGAGTGGAGCTCGCATACCCATGCGCCAAGGCCAATGCTGAGGCTGCCTGCCCGCATCAAATCAGAACTAGCCCGCCCGCACAGGGCAACATGGGGCTGAGGCCGAGTCCGCCCGTCCACTTGTTGAGGCTGTCCAGCTACGTTGCCTGTCCGTGCCGTTGGCGAGGCCGCCTGCACACCCTGCCTATCCGCACCATCGCTAGGCAACACGCCATACACGCAACGTAGGGTATTACGCTATTCAGCGGCCTGAACCTGTCTAAATCGTTCTCTTGCGTTTAACCATCAAGTTCAGTTTACGCCGAAGCCCACAAATCCTCTCTCTAAGTAACCCCGTAGCAAGATTATTGATCATCAGACACCGACAGATAATAGATGGGGTGGTGGAATAATCAAATTTTAGTAAAATAATTTCTCACAAGCATATCACTGAATACCTCGTATGCATGAACAAAACTAACACATATGCTTAAAATCATCCAACCATAAGTATCCTATCCTTCAAGACCTGATCAGATGTCGGGTTGGATTTGGCTCGATCGGACTAGAAAAAATGGTCGGGGGTCAAAATCTTTGGTTGGGTCAAAAACACACTGGTATTTTTTTTTTTTTTGTTAGGTCGAGCCATGGGGCTAAAATCATGACCCAAACCCAATCCGAGGCACTGGCTGGTCAGGTCGGGTCTTCTTTTGGATTGGTCAGGTCAGGTGGCCCAGGAATAGGTCTACTTTCAACACACGGGTAATTTTGCTAGTGATGTATCATGTATGTCTTGAAATTTTAAAACACTATATATCTACACTTATGCATAGATTTATTTCCTCTGCCCCTCTTTATGTAGCTTACTGTTGAGATTTCAGGATTCTTGTACGGTTAAACAATGAACATCTTTTTTGGAAAATATAAATATAAATTATTTAAACACATTTCCTAAATTCAGGACATGACTAAAACATACATTGCCACAGAAGCAAATAAGTTTACCTAACCATTATTGCCTGTTTTTGTTTAGGGTACAACGGAGCTTGAGCCTTGCTCAATGATAGCTGCCACTGATAGGAGTAACTCCACTGATGAAAGGATTGTTACACGCACAGAGACGATGGAATATGAATCTCACTTCATCAGGCGACAGAATAAGATACAAGATATTATCCACAAGCTAAATTCTAACATCAATGGCCGAGAACATGAGGTGGTCACTATATGTGGAAAAGATGGCCTTGGGAAAACTAGTCTAGTCAAATCAATCTACCAAAACGAAGAGCTCAGGACCAGTTTTGAAAGACGAGCCTATGTGACGATCAAGCACCCTTTCAATCTTGAGGATATTCTTGATAGCTTAGTTAAGCAACTAGATGATAAGGAAGAAGAACCAGATGATAAGGAAGAAGTATCTGCAAGAAAAGAAAAAGATAAGGAAAGAGGTGGAGACAGAACAAAATTGAGAGTTAAACGGCGACGGTTGGATGACCTTTTAAACAAAGGGAAATACTTGGTTGTCCTTGATGATCTATCATCCATTAAAGAATGGGACAGCATTAACCTCCCGAAGACAAATACAGAAGGCCGGATCATAGTCACTACAAGCACAGAGAACATTGCTAAACATAGTTCGAATAAGAAAGATGAAAACATATACAAACTTAAATGTTTGGACAAACGGGACGCTCTTGATCTCTTCAAGGAAACGGTACTGATAATATTTTCATCTTCTGTTTGCTGTATGTCTTGAAACTTACATTTTATGCATGAAATCGATTTGCTTAAATTCCTGTGTGCTTGTACCTCACGTGTGGAGAACAGCACACTTGCATATTCTGATTTGCGCACACTGTTATGATCAAGCCTCATTAAAGCAGCACTCATAAGCTTCTTTCCGCTTGAGAATTATTAAGGTGCCTTCAACCACTCCTGTTTTTAATATAGAATGTGTTAGGGAATATTATATTACTGATCTAATCGCAGAGAATTTGTATATCCTACACCAAATTAGGACATTTGATGTGCTAAAGAAGTTAAATTGATTAATACATTTCAGGTATTTCGGGGAATTAAAGATTGGGATGGGAAATTTCCTGATTCTGGCTTGTGTAAAGAGGCAGACTCTATCCTAACGAAGTGCAATGGGTTTCCCCTAGCAATACTCACCATTGGTGGAATCTTGGCAAAACAGCCAAAAACTCTCGTGGAGTGGAAAAAATTGAATGAGTATATTGCTGCTGAGCTAAAGACAAATCCAGAGCTTGATCCTATAAGAACTATCCTTGTGAAATGCTATGACTATTTACCCTATGACCTCAAGTCTTGTTTCTTATATCTGTCCATCTTTCCAGAAGACCACACTATTAGCCGTAGACGCTTGGTGCACCGGTGGACCGCAGAGGGTTACTCAAGTGGTGAGCATGGCAAGTCCGCTAAGGAAATTGCTGACGGCTACTTTATGGAGCTCATTGACAGGAAAATGATCAAACCATTCGTGGAATCAATCGATACTACAAAGGGAGTTGACTCTTGCAAATTCAATAATCTCATCCATGAAATGAGTACCTTAAAGTCATCAGAGGAAAATCTTGTTTTCAGACTAGAGGAAGGTTGCTGCATGAACACCCAGGGCAAGATTCGTCACCTATCCGTAAGTGATAACTGGAACGGAGATCGCAGTGAGTTTGAGGACATAGTGCACCCCTCCAGTATTCGGTCATTAACAGTGTTTGGGAAATGGAGGCCATTTTTTATTTCTGAGAAGATGAGGATGCTGAGAGTGTTGGACTTGGAAGGCACATCAGGTCTAAATGATCATCACCTTGAGCACATCGGGAATCTTGTGCACCTAAAATACCTTTCTTTGAGAGGGTGCCGTGATATTTGCTACTTGCCAAATTCTTTGGGTAACATGCATCAACTAGAGACACTGGATGTCAAACATACACACATCATCAAGCTTCCAAAGACCATCACCAAGCTTAGGAAGCTACATTATCTCCGTGCTGGGGGAATTGGATTCTTGGGTGCTAACTCATATGAAGAGGCTGTAGAAGATCTGCCAAAGCTACTACAGAGAAGGCTGTGCCTTCTGAGTATCTGCTCAGTGGCATATTGTGTAGCATGTTGCGCGCCTCAGCTTATGAAGAATGTATGCAACGGCGACCCAAACAGGCGTGATGTGTGCACTGCATGCTGCTGCACTGTGTTCCCTTTCGTAGCAAGGCACCTAGACCTAAGTGGTGTTCTAGTGCCGAGTGGGTTTAACAAACTCACAGCACTGCACACACTGGGTACGGTGAACATCGGGCGTGGCAAGGCCACCCTACAAGACATAAGCAGGCTCACCCGGTTGCGCAAGCTCGGATTGGCTGGCATCAACATGGGTAACAGGAAAGAGTTTTTCTTGGCTCTTTCTGCTCTCAGCAATAATTTGGAGTCCTTGTCTGTGCGATCAGTTGGGAACCCAGGTTTAGTTGGCTGCTTGGAGTTTGATGACATGTACTCAGCTCCAGAAAACCTCAAGAGCCTCAAGTTGTATGGCAATCTGGTCAAATTACCAGCATGGATCGATGGGCTCAAGAATCTAGTGAAATTGACTCTAAAGAGGTCCATGATAGAGCACGCTAATGCCATGCAAATCCTTGGCAAGCTACCAAGCTTGAAAACTCTGCGACTGTTGGAGAATTCTTTCCAGGGTAAAGAGCTCCTTTTTGTTAAGGATGAGAAGGCATTCCCTAACTTGACACGACTGGTGCTGATTCTCCTCAGCAACCTCACGTCGGTCGAGTTTAAACAAGGAGCAACGCCAAATCTTAAGATGCTACAATGTTATGGTTTGCCCAGTAAAAGTAAGGTTTCTGGTCTGAAATATCTCCAAAGTCTCAAGGAATTCATGCTGGACGACGACGCCATGTACGACAAGTCGTTCGTGGAAGACCTGCGGAAACAACTTGCCGAAAACACGAATAGGCCTATCTTGAAAAGGTACAGCTAATGCACTCCGGTGTTGGTAGGGAACTTCTTTGAGTGAATCATTTTTTTTTTGTTTATACTAGAGTCAATGATCAAGCGTATTGTTCCTTCCTATACTAGTCCCACATTATATTTTTAATGGCTGATGTGTTTCATTACTATTATATACACTAGGGAATATGCATGTGAGTTTCAACGAAATTTACATCTCGTGTCATTTATTCTAATACGTTATGGAATTAGACTACAATCCGGCCATGCCTCACTCCAATATTACTCATTGGGCGCCAGCAATGTTCCCTATCTCGTGTCTGTTCTTGATAGTTGTCTGCTCTATTGTACAATTTTTCTATTGTTTATCAGTATCTTTCTCCAGATTAATTGTTTGATACTTGACTATCTTCTTTTTTACTTGTACTCATATGTGTTGATTTTTACTTGCATAACAGCACAAATATATGAATATTTGTTGGTGTTGTACAGTATCATATAATCCATATACACACTGTTTACATTGTGTATACGGCTTCACTACCGTTTAGCTTTTATGGAAACGTTGTTTTCATCATGAGACATTCCCTAATTTGAGCAATAGTTAAGCTTGAACTGGGTTAGAAGATATAATTTAGATAGTCATAAGCTCTGGAAACAGCTTATTGATCACAAGTATGATACAAATAGGCCTAATACTTTTTGTAGCTCTACAGTTGGGGCTTCTAATTTCTTTAAGGGCTTCATGTGGGCTGCTAAAGCTGCACAGATGGGTTTTAGGTGGAAAATTGGTAATGGGGAAAAAGTTAAGTTTTGGGAAGACAATTGGTTAGGTAATTCAAGTTTGTCCACTCAGTACTGGGATATCTACATTCTACTTAATGAGAAAACTCAATCAGTCTTCAATCTGTGGTATGGTACAAACCTCAAGTGTACCTTTAGGAGATGTGTTGATGATAGATTAATGAATCTCTGGTTAGAGGTGGTTCAACTGGCCTCAACTATTAGTTTTTCTGATGATGAGGACTCCCTGATTTGGCAATTTACTAGAGATGGTCTTTATTCTTCTCAATCTTTATATAGAGTTATTAATTTTAGAGGAATTATGCCAGTGCATGTACCTGCTGTTTGGGGGCTGAAGGTCCCTCCTAGAGTTCAGTTTTTCCTATGGTTACTTTCCAAAAACAAAGTTCTTACTAGGGACAACCTGAGTATTAGAAGACATGTAGAAGACAAGTCTTGTCTTTTCTGTTGTGAACCAGAAACGGTAAATCACTTGTTCTTTGAATGATGTGTTATTGCCAAACAAATGTGGAGTCATCTTTCTGAGATTTTCGATAGACACTTAGGAATATATTTCTTTTCAATTGGCCAGTTGTGGATTAGTAATAGAATATTCTTGGTGTGTAATATTTTCTGTGCTGCTGCCCTGTGGGGGCTTTGGAAGCTAAGAAACATTTTATGTTTCCAGGTTTTGAAATGGAGGGATATGAATTACCTGCTGTTGAGAATAGCTACTATGCTTCAAGGGTGAACGCTCTTTATGTCCCATGAAGCAGAGACATTCTTTTGCTACAAGCCTAAATATGCTGCTGTCGATGGCTACACGGCCAGCAAGGATTGGTGGCTGAATCTGGTGCCAGATGAAGCTGATCGCCTGATGTTCCAGAGAGCACATCGCTGGGAAGAAGGAACCCCAAAAGAGCTGGAACCTTTCCTATCCAAAGATGTGGATGAAGCTTGGCGGTTGTAGAGTTGCTTTTTGGGTTGTTAACGCCCCTACGTGGGTGTTCTGAGTTGGTCTTAGTGATTCTGGAGTATTTTCCTTATGCTTGAGTGGTGACTTTCTGTGCTGTAAGCACATTTATGGTCCTTGTTAATGCAATGGCCGGTGCTCCACCCTTAAACTCTTTAAAAAAAAGATAGGGTACTGAGGGACTACAGGTCAATCAAACAAGATCACAGATTTACTGCTTTCCTATTCCCCTTTTAGAGCAAGGTTAACAATTTTAGACGGCTAAAGGATGTATCCCAGTTCCATGTCATATAGAGCTAACTCATATTATAGGTTGGCTGATAGTTTGGCTGCATTAAAAATTAATATTTAATGCTTACGTGTGCATATCATTTGCTATTGTACACATCTTTGTGGCCATCGATCTAACCGCACAACACAATTCATAATAATTAGATTAGATAACATGATCAGATTAGATAACATGATCAAGCATGCTATACCAGATAGTAGATATGCTCGTCCATCCTATTTCATCAAACAACATAATGAGACCAACATGTGTGTTCTTTACAAAACTAAGCAATCCGCTGTGTGGGTGAGATTCGAGTCCCCTGCTCAACCAATAGTAGATGGTGAAATAGACGATGTAAGACAAGCGGTTCAAATTCTAATCCTCAATAAGGATAAAATAAAATCTAAGTCCTGTCATTGGGGGACATATCCATTCGTACCATTTAATACACACGGATTGTCTCTGACAAATAAATGGTCGCAGCCATCCATGATCTCAGCATACAATAGTTTATTTCAGTTTCGATCAAAGCAATGAAGAAATACTGGGCAACCATGGCCCCGTTTTGGCTGAAATTGGCTGAAAAAACAAGCCAAAGCTGAAATATTGTAAAAAAAAACACTGTTCCGGCTGAAAAAAAAGGACAAATAAATCGGCTTTTAAGGTAAGTCGAACGGGCCCCATATCGGTCAAAAATAAAAACGCCAATTCACCATCACGTCAGTAATTGAAAATCTTCAGAGTTGAGACAGCCGCTAGCGAATTAGCAAACAAGCAAAATAGAAATCGTATGGCGCAGAGGCCGCCATGGACTGTTGCGGTGGTCGTTCGGGAACCAAACATGGAAGGCGAAAGCCGACGGTAGAACTAGATCTCGATAACAGACTGAGCCACCGTCGGACAGACCACCAGAGGCGCAAGCGCACATGACCTTTTAGTTCCAGGGCGACAGTTTTTGCATGAAGGCTTCGGGAGGTTGAGATTTGAGGCGATTTGGTGGCTGGGGGTATGGATTTGGCTGGCAAACCTGTTTTTTCTTCTTCTTTTTTTTACCTCTTTATAGGATTGTTCTAACGTAGCTAAAAAGTTACGTTAGAACAATCCTATAAAGAGGTGTCTAGGACGTGCGGGCGTCGTGACTATAAACTTATCGATAATGATATCTTTATCAGAAACAGAGAAACAAATCCCTCGCTCGCTCATCCTTATCCCGAAGCTCGACACAGCAGCGTGGCGGCTCATTCGTCCGCGCCCCTGCCCCCACTGCGCGGTTGTCGGCTCCTGCGCCGTGCACCATCGCCCCGCGCTCCATCGCCAGCCATGACGCCTACACGTCCTAGACACCTGTGCCGCTCGCTCCCTCGTCGTCCGTCCATCCGTCTCCCATCGCCGTCGCGCACGTCGCTGACCCCGCCATGGCCGCTGGGGCGCATGTGCCGTGGCGCCTCAGGTCTTCCTCGGCCGAGCCAAGGGCACCCACGAGCGCAGGCGGTGCTTGTGGTGCTCGCGCGCCGTGGCTCACCGCTGGCTCCGACCCTGACAGCCGGAATCAACCTGCCCAGCATTCCCCTCCCCTATGTTGCATATTAATGTTTCAAGTGTTTCAGGCATTTCAAATGTATGTTGCAATTATTTTATCTTGATGTTGCAAAAATAGATCGAGAGATGTTGCACATGTTGTATATGTTGCAAGTGTTTCATAACCATGTTGCAACCATTTATTCAAAATGTTTCATCTGTTTCCACACGTATGTTGCAAATCGTTTTTTATCTAGATCTTGCATATGTTGCAACAATATTTTCCAAATGGTTTCAGTTGTTTCAGTCTTATGTTGCAGTAGTGGTTTCATGTTGCAAGTTGCGAGTGTTTTTTTATGTTTCATGCACTTCACACACGTGTTGCAAGAGCATGTTCCAAATGTTTCATCTGTTTCTAGTTCTATGTTGCACTCATATTGCAAGTGTTTTATGTTGCGAGCCGAGAACCGGCGGGCGGAGATGCTGGGGGCCGACGGACCGGGTGCTACAGGTAAGGGTGGCGCTCGTCCTCGGCCACTCATCCCGGCTCCCACGCGTCGCACACGCGGAGTCAGAGAGAGAGAGAGAGAGGAGGGCACACGTCGCCCGCACGAAGAGTCAGAGAGAGGGGGGGTCAGGGGATGGACAGGCAGGTGCAGAGACAGGGATGGAGCGCACTCATGGCCGAGGCAAAAGTGGACAGAGGCGGGCTACACGGGCGTCCGGACGCTAGCCACACCCAACTTATTATACCTGCCCTTACCGTCTTACGTAGATTCATTGCCATTTTACATTCCTACTGCTCGAGTCTTTCTTTTGAATCGAATAAAGGTAAAATAGCACACCATGCTTGTATATCTTATTGACGCAGCAAGGATCACTGTGTACTAAATCGCACGGGCCGTGCAACACAGTAGCCAACAGCGAGTCCACAACTTATCCTGTTTCTAGAACCGACCTAGCCCTTTTCAGCAAGGAACACCGTGCTGGGAAGATCCGTCACGGATCAAGTTGCAGGCGGGGCGGGTTGTTAACGTAACCCGCCCGCTCGCCCCGCAAAACTTGGCTTCGTGGCTGACGTGGACCGGCTGCAATTTTTTCGTGGCCCAAAGACTTTCAACCCTCCAAGCCCGTTGGGCGAGCGAGAAGCCTCGCAACAACCCGTAAGACCCACAACACCCTCCTCTGCTCTTGTCATTAAGTGCAACAACACCAACAAAATCACCATGGCACAGAGCCGGTTCCTTCCCAAATCCATTAATATGATCCCCATCGACGAATTCGTCCCCAACATTCCAGAACAAACAGGCCGCCTCAATGAGAAGAGCTTGGAATGCAGAAATCAAACTCAATAGCTCCACCAGAGGAAGGCGGCATTACATCCCAACCAAAAAAACATATGAGCAAAACAAATCAATCGCCTACACTACACAAGTCTCGCTAATCCGCGACAGAAGCAATCAAATCTCCAGACCCAGCCGCCCAGCTATGAACTAACCCGAGAACGCAGGCCCCAGCGCAAAGCACATGCCGGGGAAGAGCAGAAGCAATCTGTGGAAGACGAGGATGAGCAGCAGCGTACCTCGTCGACCGGGCGCGGATCCGTGTGCTGGCTCTCTCGGGTGTGTGGGCGGGGCACGCGCGCGGCGGCTCTCTTCACCTTGGCCACGGGGGTCTGCTGCTGCTTAAGGAGAGGGGCAAGGGGAAGAAGGAGCAGGAGGCTTCGGCGGCTAATTTTTGCTTCTTCTACAAGCTGGCCAACGAATCATTATGTTCTCAAACGGCAGTGGCTTGACATCGACATTGTTCTCATTAAGATTGCACGAGGGACTGTACTGTACGTCTTGCGGGTTTTACATACAAGTTTGTTGTGTTCGCGGAACATTTGTCCGCAAGATCCACAGCTTTGTGGAAAGCCACAAGCCCGCTAATAAACTTTGCGGCAAGCGAGGCAGGTTAGCGGCCAGCCACGATCGAGCCCGCCTGCAAGCAGTCACGGATTCTAGTAGTGGTCATGTGCCGATGCTGCTGTTCGGCTGGCCAGACAAACAATTAAGAAGCTTTTTCCCTGACTTGCTGCATCAAAAACTAAATCAGGTGGTCATGCAGTGAAACACAATACGTATTAGCTACTAGCCTACTACTAACACCATCCTAAGCATGATTCGAAAAAAAAAACACCATCCTAAGCAAATCTAAAACTAGCATGTTGGGAAACTGATAAAGATTGAAAACAGAACCCAACAGACAGCAATCCACTGCAAGAGCAAAACGAGAACGGATGACTTCAACAGCAGTAACAATACATCGGTCCAAATGGACCCAGGGCCAACTAAAGTGATGGGACTAATTTGACTACTACCACCAGCCTACAACATGAAGAGGGAGGGAACGAGAAGACAGAATCTTGGAATGCATGGAGCAGCAAATGCCTTCTATCAGCACGGGGCGTCCATCTATAGGTTTACCAGGCTACTCAGCATCACCCTTCGAGGATTCTTTGCCCTCCTCAATGCCCTCCTCCTGCCACAGAGAAGATTGCATGATATTGCATCAGATTCGTGAGTATGGATAATGTCATACAGACAGGCAAAGTTCAGCTGCTGAGGAGATACCGTGATGTCAGAGGTCCAGAGGGTCAAGTTGTCCCTCAGGAGCTGCATAATCAAGGTGCTATCTTTGTAGGATTCCTCGCCAAGTGTGTCCAACTCAGAAATAGCCTCATCAAATGCCTGCAAAGAATAGTTGATCAGAAATAAAACCCACATGCGCCCAAACAAAGCAGCTACACAGATTGTACACATTATGCACTCTTGTTATCTAGAATATGATCAGTCTTCTCAATCAGCAACAAATACCATGCAATTCTTGTAGGTGTAACAACACAACAATAATACTAATAAGAAAGGTATGATGATGAATTACTACTGCCGCTGCTTGCAAGGTTTTCTGCTGCTACATAATTTGTTTGTGTGGCAAAAAGTGCCAAATGCTCATCACACCAAAGCATGAAGAGCGGCACATTGTACCCAACAATGCAATTATGCCACAAGAGATAAGATGTATAACAGTGAAACTGAAACAAAAGAAATCTGCAATCCACCTGAATCTAAAGCCCACATGAGTAATCACATAGGACTAGCAGAGTCATCCAGTTGTTCTGATGAACAAGCAACAGAAGGATCTAACCATATCTACAGTGAAAAGGTAAAATCGCTGTGCTTGAGTTTACAAAAACAATTCATATACTATTTTGCACCTCTTCTTTCAGCCCAGATTCAAACAAGCAACACAGAAGCTAGTTACAACTCAAACCGGGTACAGCAAATAGAAAGACAAATGCGATTCCTACCTGCTTAGCAAGGTTGCAAGCTTTGTCCGGAGAGTTCAGAATCTCATAATAGAACACTGAGAAGTTAAGTGCAAGTCCAAGCCTTATGGGATGAGTAGGTGCCAGTTCAGCCAATGCAATATCCTACACAAGTATAGGGCAGACATTTTTCAGAAGATATTAAATTGCGGTACTTATGGAAGAATATATCCACTGCCATAAAAGTAACTAAACAATAATCAAATACAATAAGGTTGTTATGGCCAGTGATAACATGAACCAACCTGGGCTGCCTTATAAGCTACCATTGTGCTCTCTGCAGATTCCTTCCTCTCAGCATCAGTCTTAAACTCAGCAAGGTACCTTTCAATCAAAAATAAAAATAAAAAAAGTAAACCAAATTAGATCTAATATTACAGACTATAAATATATTCAACTACGCAACAATATAGTGTTCCACTTCCTAACCTGTGATAATCACCCTTCATCTTGAGGTAAAACACCTTGGACTCTGCAGCAGTGGAGGAAGGCACAAGGTGCGAGTCAAGCAGCTTCAGGATACCATCACAAATGTTGCTCAATTCAGCCTCAATCTTGCCACGGTACTCCTTAATCTGAGCAACATGTTCCTCATTCTTGCGGGACTCCTTCTGCTCGATGGAGGAGACAATGCGCCATGAGGCACGGCGGGCCCCAATCACATTCTTGTAGGCAACAGATAGGAGGTTACGCTCCTCAACAGTGAGCTCTTCCACATCAACGGTCTTAGCCACCTTCTCCATGTACTCAACCATTTCCTCGTACCGTTCTGCTTGCTCAGCCAGCTTGGCCATGTAGACATTCTCCTCCCGCGACATGTTGATCAATGAATAGAGTTACTGCAATAACCCACAAAAAAACACTGATGAGGCAATGTCAAGAACCAGTAGAAAATTGTATTATCTAGACAAAATGACAACATGAGGAAGGGCAATGAGTATCTGACTGAGATAGTCACAGAATTCTAGCTCATTCACAGTACCTAACAATAAAAGCTATGTGATGTGACCACACAAACATGCCTACAAAATCTGTTGAGCAAATATCCAGAACATTGTAAAATTGTTCCAACAAAAATATATTGTCATAAACATTTTTATTTGGTGAGACATAAATTTCACATATAATTACATAAACCTCCAAAATATGGCCTAATATCATTTATCAGTTTGTTGCGATGTCCATCCATGTGAAGCAGGGAACCCATTGAATATTATGATCTGGTACTACTTACAATACAGCATAACAAAAAGGTTAACAACAGGCCAACCAGATATAACCATGACAACAATTATACCTCAAGGACACTGTGTCACGACTCACGAAACCAAACTAGATTACTACCAACATAAGCATATTACTACACGTTCTTGTACCAGATTAACAATTTCAACAACGTCGTTAAGCCATCAGCTCGAAAACGAATCCCACGGGCGTAATGTTTCAAAAAGTTGGCGAGAAATCACACTTACAACCGTGCAGCATCAGGACGAGCGCGACCTAGATCCAGAAATCATAGTGCAGGCGTACAACTACATCAGATTTGCGGCACTTGCACGGCCAAATCGACATGGGCAACCATCTCGCCTCCCCATAAGTAATCAATACATTATCCCTAATAATCTCCTCCCCAAACGCTAGAGAACACATGAAGAAAAACGGTAACAAAAAAATTTCGAGTTTACGCGCGACAATGCCAGCCAAATCGTGCGGATCGACGCGCCCCACACGGTCAGGTTCACAGATCTCGTGGATCGGAACCAAACGAGAACCCCTACTACACCAGCGACAAGCAGATCTAGCCACCGCACATAACAGGGCCCGAAAATTCAAATAAAAACCGGGGGAAATCGTCGCCGCTCGCATCTCTCACAACGGTACGGCGAGATAGGAGCATAAAAGGAATTGAGGGGGGGAAGCTCTAACCCTAACCTTCCGGGAGTGCGAGGCGTGATGCACGGGCGCGGCGGACGCGGGTCGTCTCGATCTGGATGCGAGTAGTGCTGGGGCGGAGACGAGGGGTGGTGTGGACGGGGGCGCACGCCGAGGGGGCCCGCCTATATAGCTCGAAGGAATCGCCAGCCTGTGCGGTCAACGGGCCGTGGTGTAGGACGCGCTTGGGCCGCGAGGGCCCATCGGCAGCCTCACGGGTGGAAAAAGCAGACGACATGGTGGGACGGATTCTGGTAGGGCCAGTGTGTCGTATAGAGATTGAAAGAACGATAATGTTACGATTAGAGCGTCCGGCCGGAAGCTACTTGACTTCACGTCGTCAACGTAGTCATAAAATATCTGATACTCTTAAAAGAAAATCTCCCACTCCACGACATTCCGCTCTCCTCTCCAACTATGTGGTCATCGTCTCGACGCTGGCTGGACATGGTGGTCATCGTCCACTGAAGTGTTGCGCCAGATATATTGCAAGCGTATGGTTCAAGTGTTTTAGGGGTTTTCATATGCATGTTATAAGTGTTTCATGTGAATGTTATAAAAGTAGATCGGATGTTACATATCTTGCAATGGCTATAAACGTATGTTGCAAGCATCTGTTCCCAATGTTTCATCTATTTTTCAGACGTATGATGCAAATGTATTTATTTGGATCTTGCATATGTTTCACCCATATGTTGCAAGTGTTTTATTTTGGATGTTGCATATGCTTTTGTAATGGCTTTTCAAGTGTTTTGCAGGTGTTTTTGTAAGTGTCTCAGACGCATGTTTTAAGTGTTTCATCTGCCTTCAGACGCATGTTGCAAATGTTTCATCTAGTTGTTTCAAAAGTAGACCGGGTGTTGCTGCTGGAGACCCACCTACCGCGACAGGCGTCCGGGCGGGGGAAGTCGAGAGGTCGCGAGCGATCTCCGTGTGGAGTCAGGAGGCGCTGGCGACGTTCGAACGGGCATGGCCCCCACGTGGGCGCGCAAAACAGAGTGGGCTCTAGCACTGCCGTCGAAAGGAGTGAAAGAATCAATCAAAGATGTAAATAAATTAATAATGTATTTGGTAATCTGGTATGTTTCACCTCCTACACGGCTGCGCTTGGAATGTGTGTGGGATGGCAAATTTGTGGTGCTGTTCATTTTCTTCTCAGTTCCTCCTCTCTTTGGTGGTAGCCTAAACGTTTAAATAAACTAAGTGGCCACTAGTGCCGGTGCCAGAGGTGCGACGGCCGAGGGCCCAGGGGAGGGAGGGGCCCAGGCCCACGTATATTGTAGACCCTAGCTCTATAGTCCGATGGCACTTGATAGGCAGCCCGAGGCGTTCAGGATCAGGAGCGCCGAGCGCTTGCTTCCCTAGTCCGCGAGTCTACTACGTATGCGAGCGCCCAGGGCGAAGGGTCACGGTCTCAGGGAGTCACGGAGAGTCAGAGATGGAGCCGCGCCGCGCCGCCGCCGGCCGTCGTGGAGAGCTGGAAACACGGAAACGGCGCACTCACACGCTCGACTCGACGCTCCCCTGATACCATCAAGCCTGCCCCGACGCTCCCCCGATACCAACACGAGCACACGACCGAGGGAGAGTCCAAGCGTCGTCGGCCGTCGCCCCAACCCCCGACTGACCGGTAGCGCCGACCGCGAGGCCCAAGTCCCACCCGCCTGTGGTCTCCGCCTCCGCTTGGGGCTCCTCTGCGTTCTCCTCCGTGAGTCCATGACTACCAAGTGGAAAGCCGGTGCGGCGGCTCCGGCAGATCCGCCCGCGGCCCGCCGCCCCGCGCCCCGCGCCCCGCGGTGCCCCTGCTGCCTGCTACAGCATGCAACTTGCACGGATATGGTAAATAGCTTTTGACTGTCAATTGTACATGTCTGGAAAAGTTTGTGTAAATTCCTACGGATGTGGATGCCAGAATTCTACTGTGTTTTATAAATACTAGTGGACAGGCACGTGCGACACGCACGTATACCATACAAATTTATTCACGGTAAAAGGATTATATACACACATTCAATAAATTATGTTTCACAAGAAAAGTATAAGAATGATTGAGAAAATAGGTGTGTTCTATCCCTACGCCTTGGAGCGGACTTGGTATCGCTTCTAACTCGGCATAGCTTCAATGTTCACGGTCATCCGCAACAACTGCACCCTTGGGCTCCTCTCTCCACCTCCTCCGTGTTCTCCATCATGTGGGTTCTCCGTCTTTTCATTTACAAGTTTTTGACCTTTTTGCACTTGAGTTAGTATGTCAATAATAGGAAGTTCAGACTCTTATGTGAAAACACAAAGTACCACATGTATCCAGTTTCTCTTTGTTTTTCATTCTTATTATGTTCATATGTGAAATAGTAACAGCAGGATTGCACCCCAAATAGCAACGGATGACAGGCAAGAAATCTAAAATTCTAGGAAGAACTGCTATAGTTTTTTTCCTTCGTCAAGTCACATCTATCATGCCAGCAATACATAATGAATTCAAGTACTTGCTATAGTCCTTTCAGCCCACTTTTGAAAGTTCCCAGCCCTCCCTCGGTTGCCAGCAAGGATTTGACTTTTAACAACTACGGACCATGTATCATTTAAGTAAAGCTTTGGTCTGCCTCCAAAAGCATATTTATGATCAAGGTCTGCCAATTGCAAATTATAAAGAAAACGGTTAACAATTCTGAAATACATATGAGATGTGCATAGAGGTCAACACACCTGAATCATAAGGCGCACATACTGGTCATCATGTTAAAGCATGAATGGATTTTTTGTTCCTTTATTAGCCATATATCCTGGTATCTCAACAATTAGCATATCATATGGAATCCAAAAAAAAATTGGACCAATGAGATATAGAAGCATTTGATTATCTATAGTAGGTAGTCTCTGATGTACAATGAGATAATATTTTTCAATGCGTTTTTGGTCAAAACAATGCTATTAAATGACAAGGTTGAAATGTTTTTTTTTCCGAAGTTATGAGAAACAAATAAGTTTTTAAGCAAAAGAATGCTAGTGAACAAGGTTCAAATGAACATAAATTGGTAGCTTTGATCTATTGAACAGAATACAGGGTATAAAGGTTGTCAGTTTTATCCAAAATCTAAGTCCATGGCTATGAAAAAAATATTAATATGTTACATCCCTTTCTCAGTTGTATACCAGCATAAATAGTTTTTTTTTGGCAGATTTGTCATATCTCTCGAATATGAAGTAGCAAAAATAATTCTTTATACGGGTTGTCAATTACAAATCAAACAGTACGTAACTTGTATGCCATCTACTAAGATTTATGCAGATAAAGAACCTGCATGTCATCTACTAAGATTTGTGCAGATAAAGAAATATAATTTTTGAACATGTTTGACTAATTTGACAAAGTAAAAGTGCACCAATAGGGAAGGAAACCTCTTAGATTTTCTCCTCGACTCGATGGCCTGCAGAGCAGTAAAACAGTTGGAAACCTGTTTGGACTTAGCTGTTTAAGCGAGCAGAAAATGATTAAGGTGGCTGCACATCCATGCTTATAAATTTGAAGTACAATATATCATAAATATAAAAATGGCATACTGATTGAAGATGCTTTCCAACGCTATCCTGAAAGTACCCATCCCATAGCACCATTCTTGACATATCATCTTACCTTGTATTCAAGATCATCAAAGATGTTTATAGATCACACATCACACATTAAGATATTATGTGAAAATGAAACAGATGAAGCCCAAGAAGGCTTTCTATTAGTGAAGCACATACATGAAAGAAGTACATGTAGATCTCTTCCCCAGTCAATAGGATCACTGACAACAAACACTCCATTAACTCGCTCTGAATAAACATCATATGATGGGTGCCCTTTCGTAGACATGTATTTGTCTGCTTGCCAAACTTTCCA